ATTGTACTATAAGAAATGATGAACAGGCTGACTTCAGAAAAACCTGGAAAGACTTGTATGGTCTGATGCTGAGTGAAGTGAGCAGAATCAGGAGAACGTTGTACACAATAACAGCCATGTTGTGCGATGACTAATATTGATAAACTTGACCCGTCCCAGCAATACAAGGATCTAAGACGTCTCCAAAGTCCTCGTGATGGAAAATGCCATCCACATCCAAAGAAAGAACTATGGAATTTTGAATGCAGATCGAAGCATACTATTTGCTATTTTTTTTCTCTTCTGCTGAGTGTTTTGTTTCCTCTTTCTGGTGGTTCCTCCTATTGGTTCTAATTTTTATTTACAACATCACTAATCTGAAAATATGTTTAATGAGAATGTATATATGTTGCCTATATCAAATTGTGCGCCATCTTGAGTGGGGAGGAAGGGGGAGAAAAATTTTAAACTCAAAGGTATATGGAAGTGATTGTTGACAAATCAAAATAAATTTTTTTAAAAATCTGAAAAAAGTAAATCCAGGGGCAGCTAGGTGGCGCAGAGGATAGAACACTGGCCCTGGAGTCAGGAAGACCTAAGTTCAGATCCAGCCTCAGACACATAATATTCACTAGTTGTGTGACTCTGAGCAAGTCACTTAACCCCAATTGCCTCACCAAAAAAAAAAAAAAAAAAGGCTGGAAGGAACTGTGCAGAGAGAGGAAAGTGAGATGGCCAAAGCAACATGAGGTAACCAACCAACCTCGGCATTCAATTTGTGTCTTGCAGACTACAGATGGTAGGAAACAGTGGGTTCCAACCAACCTCCTCTTTGGGACCCCCTCCAGTCAGGGACAGCTCTACAGCCCTTGCTAGCAGGAAGCAATCTCAGAAGCCAAAACCATCACCCCTTACCCCAAAATATTTTGGATCCCATTTGAGATGGGATCCCCATCAGGGATAGGATCTGAACCCCCAAAATGAAAAGACTGTTTCTTTAGGACCTGGACCCCAAAGCCCTTGAACCTAGATTTCTGATGTTCACCTTAGGAATCTAGCCCATCCCAGTCAATAATCCTTTTAATTGCCCTTTCATTGTGGCCCTCATCCCTCATTGTCTGCACCTGGCCCACCAAGTCTTAATCCCATCCAGATCCTTCCACAGTCTCTCTGTATAAAAGTACCAATTTCATCCTTATCAAATGCACAGATTCCTTAAGAATCTGGCCAGCTTGTATTGGCCTCACAAAAAGCTCAGACTCACTAGGAATCGTACCCACCCCAACCAGTGTCATGATAAATTTGCTATTTGGACTGGAAAAAAAAAACCATCCAGTATATATGTTAGGATCTTATACCTTTAAATAAATTGTAAAATGGCAGCTAGGATCCACTCCTAAATATTGTTTGCAAAAGTTTGCTTGTTACCTACCACTCTCATCAAGGATGCCCTTGATTCATGTCTAAATGACTTAAAAATAAAGATTTTGTATATATGGAGAATAAGCATATTGGTGAGTAGTTGTTTTTTGGTCACCGTTTTTTAGCATTAAAGAGGTCTGCTATATTTCCGCCACCTTTGGCCTCTTTTCCTACACCAGATACTTCCTATTTCACGTAAAGTGCTCTTGGTGCCCTCATATTGGTCTCCTGCCTGATCTCCAGACTGATCAATGTCCTCCTGGGGGAAGAGGAGAGGAAGGAAGGAAGGAAAGAGGAGGTGGGTACCTTCATGTATCTCCATGTGTCTCCTGCTTGCTCTCCAGCTTCTCATAGGAGCATGAAGTGGAGGTGGGTACCTTACCATCCTACCCTGCAGATCTGCCTGTTCTCCAGCCTTTGAGAAGAGAAGCGCTATTTTATCTCACCAGTCCCTTATTACTGAGGTGTGGAGAAAGGGGGGCCATTCCATCTAGCTTCCAGACCTGTCTTCTGCCTTGGGGAGAGAGTGTATCAGCACTCTTGCTGTTCTAAATTCTTGCCCCCTTGCCCGAATTGGCCAGGGCTCTGAGAGCACTCTACCCTTGGGTTATAATGCTATTGACTTTGAACATCTCTCTGAATTTTTCACTTAAGGATTAACAAGCTCCTACCTGGTCACACCTTCCACATCCCAGCGATTCTGAACGCCTGTAGATCATCATCCAAACCCCATTCCCCATCTCCCACTACCTGATTCCTTATTCCAATTCCCCCCACTCCCCCTTAGTCTCAACCAAATGCTGACCACCCCTTCTACTGTGCCCTTAGCGACAAATTTGCTTTCATCTTAACTCTTTTCAACTTCCACTCCTTCCATTTTCTGACTCTCCCTGACCCGTTTCCCTCCCTGACCCAGCCTTTCCAGCACTGGATGGACTTTTACTCATTCCATTCAATTCACTGGTCAAGGAGGGGGAGTTGGAATATTCCTTGCTCCTCCCTGCAACTTCCAGGTTCTTCCCCTACCATCATCACTTGGTAACATCTCTTCCTCTGAGGTCCATACAGTCCACATCTACTACCCAATCAAAATCCTGGTACAGATGAGATCTATGGAGCTCGCAAACATTGCCCTTCCTCAATGAGTTAGGGACATGACTCACAATCTTTTTTCTCCAACTACTGCCCTCATATTAGGGGACTTCAACGTCTATATAGACTCCCCCTCAAACACCCTATCCTCCCAATTCATCAGCCTACTCCACCCTCACCTCAGCCACACCCCAAAATGGTCACACTCTTGATCTTGCCGTCACTCATACAAATGTGCCACCTCCATGTTCGTGAATTCTGAAATTTCTTCATTTGGTGTCACCGTAATGGCATGGTCCTCTCCAAGAACTGAGGACAACCTATCTACTCTTTGATGCGGTGACACTGGCCTCCTTGCTGGTTTTTGAATGAGCCATCTTACCTCCTCAGTTCAGCATTTTAACAGCTGTCTCCTGTGCCTGGAATGCTCTCCCTCATATCTACCTCCTGGCTCCAAGTACCAGCTAAAATCCCATCTTGTAAAAGATTTTGTGGCTGTGCACGGTTATAGTGCCCTCTTGTTCCTTCCTTTTTATCTTGTTTGCACTTAAGTCATTTGCATGTTAATTCTGAGCTCCCTGAAGGCAAGGACTATCTCTTCCCTTTCTTGGGATCCCCCAGGGCTTACCACAATGCCTGACATTCGTTCAGTCACGTCCAAGTCTTCATGATTCAGTGGACCATAGCATACCAATACTGTTCAGGGGCTCTCGGCAAGCATAATGGAGTGGTTCGCCATTTCCCTCTCCAGTGTACTGAGGCAGAGAGAGGTTAAGTGACTTGCTGAGGTCATATCACTGAGGCCAGACTTTAACTGGGGTCTTCCTGCCCTACGGCCCAACATTCTATCCACTGAGCCATCAAGCTGTCTTAAGCAACAAAGACTTCTTGCTTCCTCGGTATACCCTTGGTCCTACTGGATGCTTTCCCCATGTCTTTAGTGCCATTTTTATCTCCCTTCACGTACATCTGGGACTGTTAAGATCCCAGTGTGGTGGTTGCATTGTCTTTGATGTTTTAGTAAATTTTAGAGCTATATGCTTTTTTCTGTTATTCTCCCATTGTCTTCACGTGTCTTTGGGACAACTTTGCTTAGCTGGATCTCTTGCCAAGCTTCCTTTAAATTGCTTCTATTCTCCACTTTATGACGTGACAGTGGCTTGTTATCCACCCCGCTTGACATGTCCAAAGGTGCTTTCTGAGCTCTCTGGCTCTTATGACAAATGGAGATACTGAACCTTTGCCAGACAACCTGGGCTCAAATCCCAACATTTAATAGCTGTGATGCTGGGCAAGTTACTTCACTTCTACTGGACTCAGTTCCTTATCTATAAAATGAGAGGGTTGAACTAGATGGACCCTGAGGTCCCTTCTAGCTGTTGTTTTATCATGTCTGACTCTGCGACCTCTTTGGGGGATTCCTTGGCAAAGACATTGGAGTAGTTTGCCATTTCCTTGTCCAGCTCATTTTACCAATTGGGGCAAACAGGGTGACTTGCCAAGGGTCACATTCGGTGTCTGAGGCTACCTAAGCTACCTACCATGGTTCAATTTCTGTATAAAATTGTAATTGGTCTCAATGTCAATCACTGCCCATTTCCCACTTTTTTGTTTCAATAGTTCAAGTTGTTCTAGTTGTATACCATCTTTTCCTCTGTTTAATGTACTGACTCTGATCTCTGCCCTATCACATGACTTACCCCCAGACAGCTGACTCAATAAAATTACTAACAAATGATCTATTTACTTTTTATTTGGTGCTTGCCTTGTCTAGCACTTGCTTTCTCAATTCTCAAGGTGTGCAATTTCTGGGCCATACTTTATTTCACCATCTTCACCTTTTCCCACCCATCTTTTGCTCTGTCACTGAAGATCAGTATCAAATTTAGAGGATCTCTTACCGAAGTTCACTACCTCTTCATCTTCAGCAAATGTTCAGACATAGGCAGCAATTATATGTTCCATACTATTTTGATTTCTATTAGCTATTTTTGTAGCCTATCATGATCACCCCAATAAGACTGTCCTTGGGGGCCGGGACCATTTGATCCACTGATGCTGCTTGCAAATGATTGGCACTTCATAAATGTCTGCTAAATTATTACAAATTTCTAACAATGAACAGCCACAAAATCAGTCTTCTGATTTTACTATTTAAGCTTACATTATTCCTAGACTTAAGCAGAAAAAAACCCAAAATATTTGCTTTCTGGGAACATGTGCTGTTTTTGTACTGTTTGGGGCAAGGTGATTCCATTATGTTAACTTGAAATAAGGTACAAGACATGTGATGTGTTCATTTTATTTAATAATATCCGTACCATGTTATTACCACAGAATGTAAATTCATTTTAAACATTAGAATTCCACAAGTGTAACAAAGCATTACTTAAATATGTTAACATTTGTGTAAGGAGAATGCTGCCCATAATATGAAACCATCAAATCTAAAGGACAGTAATGTATTTCAGTTGGACATGACTCTTGATAGAGAAAACACAATACTGTACATTTTAAGAGTTCTCTTTACTGTTGAATAAGCACTTCGAATACATATAAAACAGATGGCATTTAAAAAATAATTTCAATATGGTAGCAGCAAAAATATAACTAAGCCATACCATTTGTTATTCTCATCTTTTACTAACTTTATAATAAATACTACCGTGTTAAGTAGCCTGGTTAACAACTGTTCAAGGCGCATCTTAAATATAAATAAGTTGTCTATGGTGAAGGTAGGGAAGAAAACTCTTGCTATAATATTTTATTTCATGTTTTTCTTACAGATGTTCTTTTGGCTCTAGGCAAAGCCAGGCAGCCCTAGACACTGAAGTTTCCACCATTCTACAAGATAAGGAGGAACTATTTCCTGAATTGTGTTAAAGCAGCTTCCCATATTATATCCCAAAATATATCCCATTTTAAAGCAATAGGAGCTACATGAGTCTTGGCCCTGTTAATTTTTTAGTCATTAATTTTTGAGATTGGAGAAATATGCATCTAATTTATCACCCAAGTAAGCTTCAATGACCAGTTCCTTTCGTACTAACCTAGCTCTCCTCATTAACTCTTGGATGCCAATCAGTATACCTTGAATCACCTGGGAAACTAAAGCTTCCATGAAAATCCAATCTTTAAAATATCATGATTGCGTCGTGTCTGACATGTGCTGCTTTTTAGAACCACATGTCCCTAAATGATTTATTTTTAAACATAAAACAAATAACCTCAATGTGAGGTATCTAGCTCTAAAACATCAGCGTAAAGACAGCATCTTTCCTCCTAAGGTTTGGGTTTTGCCCAGTATTCCCGATACATGGAGTACAACATACCTAAAGAAAAAGACAAGGTAGTTAGATTTTTAGTGTGGTTTTCTATATGAAATAAACCAAGCCATTTAAAAAATTGGCCACAACAAGCAACACCACCAAGAAAAGTTTACACAAGGAATCAGGACACTGAGCACCCTTCCATTTTCATCTTCCTTTACTATCTTAAGGATTATAAATATATAAATTAAACTCTTTTCATAATTCCTTAACTAGCTCATGAGGTTTACATCTAGATCATAAAGACAAAATTATCTGTTGGCTGCCAAAGCAGCATAGATAAATCATAAATCTTCATCTCTAAAAAAGACCTTAGAAATTATCTAGTCTAGCCTCATTTTATAAATGAGGAAACTGAGACCAGAAGTGCCAGATCCTAGGCTGCACAATATGTATCAGAGACAGGATTCAAACAACCCAGATGTCCTGACTCCAAGTCCAGGACTTTTTGTAAAGAGGAATCCTTGGTATTTATCAAGTGACAAATTAAAATTCAATAAATGCCTCTCTCATCTAATTCTTAATTCCTCCCTCCTACCGTATACTTATGTATAATGCTAACAGACATTTGTCCCATGAATGCTATCATTGCTTGGTAAAGCATTTCCAATACATTAAAAATGTAGAATTTCATCCACATGGATGATCCCTCTGTCAATGTAAAATTGAAGGCTTTCTCCACCTCAATAGTTTCATCAGCTGCTGCTGCCAAAAAAAAATTTCATCACCTGATAACCAACCCTATGTTTATGATCTTCACCAAACTTAGAGAGGCTGGTCTTCAGAAAAATGGCCACACTGGTATATAAAACCTTTCCAGGTTAGTAAAAACTCTAAAGCTTTTGTTTCATTGGCACAGCCTTTGAGAAACCAAGGTCACTTCTATGCCAAAAGGAGGATCATCAGAAGAGAATGGTATTTCTAATACTTATGCTTATAGATAATTTGCTCAGTATCTTGCATTACAGTATAGTATCACTAAGGGAAAAATGACTATTTTTTTTCTCTCCTTCCTGTTTAATGCTTCATTGCTCCTAGTATAACAGTGAAATCTGTTAGGTGACCAATTACTTAATTCAGCAATTCAGGTGTGAAGTAATAAAAGCCTACAGCAGTGGAGACTAAAAAGAATATAGGGCAGTAATTTAACAATGTAATTTTCATTAACTTGAACATGTCATGATTACTGTGTACATACCACAATCAGGAAAAATATTCCTTACCATTTTAAACTGCTTAAAGATTACTCTGTAAACCCAAGATTGGAGACTTTTCAAAGACTATTAAGAACATGAGATTTAAGAACTGGAAAACCTTAAATATCACAGTTCAACCCCTTCATCTTATAGATGAGAAAACTGAAGCCCAGAGTAACTGACACCCAAAATCCTACAGGCAGTAATAATTATGAATGTAAACCAAGTTATTCTGCATTGTGTTAAAATTTAACAGTGGTTCCCAAAGTGGGTGATACTGCCCCCTGGGGAGGCACCGGAACAATCCATGAGGGGTAGTAGTAGCCTCCAGTGCAATTGTACACTTAATCTAAGATTTCTTTGGCCAAATAAGTTTGGGAACCTGTGTTAAACAATCAACTGATTAAAAGTCATTTAGTTTACTAACATATCTGCAGGAATCTTTCTCAACATTTACCTCATTCTTTTTTTTTTTCTTAAAGATATGCATTAATATGGGCAGCTAGGTGGTGCACTGGATAGAGCCATCGGCCCTGAAGTCAGGAGAACCTGAGTTCAAAGTCGGCCTCAGACCAAACACTTGACACTAGCTGTGTGACCCTGGGCAAGTCACTTAACCCCAATTGCCTTAAAAAAAAAAAGATATGCATTAATAAGGAACTTTACTGGAGAATGAAATGTTTGCTATGGAGGACCTACCAACAGTCATTGCTCCTACTACAAAGCCTTGGGCTCCCACACGCATGTGAATCAGGTGGACAGACATTTTAGTATCCCCTCTGCTCTTCAGTTTGTATAATCCATAGGCAACAATAGCTGCAAAGCCTGCCATTCCTGTAAGGCAAGAGTCAACAGGTAATACGCAAGCCAAATGCATAAAGAAAAAGAGCAAGTATCAGATCTACGAACAAATAACTAAACAACTACCTTCTACACTTCACCCAATGGATCAGTGTTATCTATGTGTCTTATACTGCTATTAGACTACTGAGTTCCATGAGGGAAGAATTTGCCTAAACTTTGTATTCTGCCTATCATGGTGCTCCGCACTGCATACAGCAAGTGCCAGCTGGATGAATCAATCAACTTAATTATATATGTGGTGCCACTTACAGACACAGCCAAGTCCTTCTCCTCCTTTACTTGTCCCTGCCATCCCCAAGCTATTACCCTATCTCTTCTCCCTTAACAGCCAAATTCGAGAAAGTTACCTATATTCACAGCCTCCAATCTCATCAATTCTCACAAGTCAAATTTTAGACCCAAGCATTGCACTAAACATGCCCTCTCTAGTTACCTACAAGTTCTGACCTGCCAAGGCCAAGGGTCTTTCCTCAGTCCTCACCCCACCTAATCTCTAACTTTTACAACAGTCCATTACCCCTCCTCTGTCTGCTGCAGGAGGAGGAGGTGCACCATCTGGAACTGAAGGGCCTGGGGCTGAGTTCTGGTTCAGCCACTCATGGACAAGTCACTCACCTCTCCCTCATTTTGAAGGGATAGCCTACTAGGCCTCTAAGGCTGCTTCCAGCTCCAAATGTGTGACACTGTGATCCTTCATTGGCTTCTATGACACCATTCTATCTTAGATCTTCTCCTGAGTCCAATTATTCTTTCTCAGCCATCTTTTCTGAAGTAACAACGTGTTTTCCACCCAACAGGTGTAAGCATCCCACAAAGCTATTCTCGCTCATCTCCTCTTTTTAAACTTCTTCCTTATCTGACCTCATCAGCACCTCTCAGTTACCATCATTAAGTTATCTTTACATAGAGTTATAAGCTAGTAGAGACCTAGGAGGTCATCTAGTCAAACTCCCTCAATTGTTGAGATGAAGACCTGAGGCCTACACAGGTTAAATAGATTCCCTGAAGTCACATAGGTAGTAATCAATCAGGGGAAATTTGAACTCAGGATCTCTGAACCTAGTGCCAGTGATCTTTCCACCAAACCATGTTGTCTGTGTGCAGAGGAATCTCAGAACCAGAGCCAACCCTAATCTTTCTCCCCAACTCCAGGTCCACATCACCAACTGCCTGCTGGACATCTCAAACCAAACATGGCCAAAATAACTCATTTTTTCACAAATTTATCCCAACTCCAACTTATTTCCATTGATGGCACTATCTTTCCATCAACCCAGATGCACAACCTTTAAGTAACACCTGATTCTGCCCTCTCCCTTACATTGCTACCAACTGCAATCCATTACCAGTCAATGGATTATCGTCACCATCTTCATCTCTTGTGAGACTGGGTCTCCCTATCTCACCCAGGCTGGAAGTGCAGCAGGCCTGATCTCCCTGATGGGTCACCATAAAAGCTTTGGCCTGTTCTACTTTCCAACCTGGACCAGAAATCCTGGTACCCCCCCCCCCCAACCCTACAGCCCCAACTCAGGGGGCTCATTATCAGTGTCCAACTTAATGCAGAAACTTGATTACCTTTAACTATTTCAGCTCAGAACTACCAAGCTCAAGGGAGCCACCAGCCTCAGCCTCTACAAGTAGGAGGGGTTACAGGCCTATGTTACCAATCTGGCCAATAAAATCATTTTAAAGTCTAATGAATAAAAATGCATCTTGAAGTCTTAAATATACTTTGGGCAATTTTCAGAATGGAAAGAATCTTTAAAGGGAATATATGTGCTAGGTTCCCTAAACTGAAATGGTGAATCAACAACGATCAAAACTGATTTTTTCTACATTATGTAGCTTACATCTTATCAAAACAAATGCCATAGCAAAATCATCTCATAGATTTCTAAGTCCTTGGATTTCAGAAAAAAAAAACTAAAAGAAAATTTCAGAGACAATGAGAAAAGCGGCACCCAGTTAAGCTCAGTGACCTGCTCAAAAGTCACACAGCAAAGCTGGGACTAAAATTCAAGGTTCCTTCCCTGATGGAAACCCTGTCTACAGCTCCTTCCACTATATCATCCTGCTTTCCTGATCTTACTCAAGTTAACAGGCAACATAACAAAACTCTGGTATGTAAGAATTCTAATCATGAAATTCGTACAACTACTTGTTCTCACTGCATTTTAAATAGCTAAGATATCTAAAAAGAAATGCATCTAAGAATTTTTTGAATAGAACTGATGTTTCAATGGATACCATTTTACTGAAAAATTGTTTTGTCACAGGTAGACTCACCAATTGGGACAAATGGTGTCTCTTTAGCTTTTCGAGCAAGTTTTGATCCCGAAGTCTCATCGTAAGTGGAGAGGGAAATATCATTGTCTGCTGACATTGCAGCTGGTTGAAGAGCCTTCCTAAAAGAATTTGAAAGAGATTTTATATTTCAAAAAATACAAAAGGTTAAGGATATACTTCAAAGTGTCTCTAATGTTGATCTTTCATTAATTTCATTAATTTTTTGAACATTTGCCTAAATGTCAGGCTAAAATTCCCAACATTTGAAGTTCAGTTTTCAGTATAGTACCTCATTAAGGATATTCAAACTTTTTTCTTATATATAAAAAAAGGCCAATGACAAATAGAGAAGTTCACTGTCCTTGAACTTAAGACTTGGAAACTATACTTCACCTATCATTCAAACATTTGACAAGATGCAGAAAGAATGCTTGTTATGAGTATTAGCAATTTGCTTCCTTCAAAAAACCAAAATTAAACAGTTGCTGGAAAAAAAAAAAGCTTTTCACAGAATCATCTACCCAAAGAAAGGTTCATTTCCAAATAAGGATTAGCAAAATATACTAAAACTGGAAGGGGCAGAGAGTAACAATGAAAAAAAAAAAGAAAAAAGTGGGTTTTCAGCATGCCATCATATACAAGTCAAATGTGCCCTGCCTAAAATTTTTCGTTAATTTTAAAACTTAATTAGCTCACATCCACGGACTGGCAAGCCAGTAGAGCCTGACCATCTGTTGGCTGCTACCATTCTATAACTGAGTGCCTCCAGGATTAATTACTAATTGTAAAAAACTGCAGCCTGCACATATTTCTGATCATGTGGCTCACTCTGAAAACAAAAAAGTTTAAAAAATCTATTTTAATTGAAGGAAGCTTTGCTAGTGAAATCCTATCAAGCATAATATCTTTTCCTCAAATTTGATGGCCTTTGAAAAAAATGGCAACCTGAACTGATAAACCTCTTCAATCCAATCACCCCTGAAATCTTTTCAACTAAGTACTAATCTACAGACTTTGCTCCATTCAACTGCTACTTCTGCTCATCTCATCTACTTTGTACTACCCTGACTCATCTCTCCCTTTTCTTAGATGTCCCCACCCCTCTGTACCATTTCTCAACTCCTTTCTAACCTTCTTTCTCTCTCCTCCATGGTCTGCTAACACACATTACTTCACATTCCTCAACCTGCTCTTGCTAATCCCCCATTCTATAAATCTTTGTAGTCATTTAGCCTCATCCTACCTTTCAGAATAGAGAGGAACAAAGCAACAAAGTGAAATGCTATTCAGGATGCTGAACTGTGCAAGGTTGAGAACCAGTTCACTCATGTTCCAGATTCTAAATATAAACAGCCTTTGTACTGAATTCCATCCTCAGACAAGAAAGAAAATGTCTGGGTCCTGAAGCTACTTGCTGCTTTTGGGAAATAGGGCCTATTCAAATGCAGAGAATATGCGGAACATATACAGGACAAGATCAAAGAGTGGCTGATTCTTGGATAAAGTATAGCTATACTAAAAAAACAATGCTTTTATATTTACTTACTCTAATGGATCCTCTTTGCCCAAGGATATCATCTTCCTCAGCTTGGAATTCAAAGTCCTCCACAATATGATCCTACTGTTACTGACCACTCTTACTGCCCTCAGATTCACAGAAGCCTCCTAGAATTGGCTAAGACCATACACCATCTACCTTTAAACCAATGGCTTCACAGAAAAGGAAGCTATGGCCTAAGGAAGTTGTAACTTGCCTAAAGTTACACAATACAAATGAGCATTATTCACTTTTTGTATTTAGTCTTATTTTGCCTTGTCTTTACCACATGAGAAGTGCTGAGGAACCTGAACCAGGGTGGTGGCTGTATAAGTAGAAGGAAAAGGATAATGAAAGATGATAGAAACAATGAAACTGAGTCAACCGGCTGACTACACGGCATAAGAGTGAGGTGAGGGTATCACCAAGGCTGTAACTGGACAGTAGTGTTTTATTAGGAAATTAGGAAAATGAGTGGGAAAGATAAGTTGTTTTAGACATGTTGAGTTGGAGATGCCTAGGCAATTGTGATTCAGGGCTGTAGTTGAGGAGAAAAGCCAGGACTCAATAAACAGGTCTGAGAATTATCTGTATGAGATGATAACTGAACTCTCAGATACTGATGAGAAAAAGCCCAGGAGAAAAACTCTGGAATTAACAAAGAACATGAACATGAAGATGGCATGAAGAACCATCTGTGTACTTCTCTAGGTTTCAATTTCCTTATCTGCAAGAAGTTGACTAGATCAATGCTGTTAAAACAGAATCACATAAGGATCCCTGTGGCTACATATTTGACTTAGAAAATCACACGTTAACGTTTTCTATGTTTTATTATATTTTTATTTAGTTAGCTATTTCACAATTTAATCTGGTTCCGAATGTGCAGGTAGACTGCCTATGGACTAGATGATCTCCAAGGTTCCTTTCCTGCTCTAAATCCTACATTCCTAAGTCAAACCTCTCATTTTAGAGTTGAGGAAACTGTGACTCAAAGATAAATTTATTTGCCCAATGTTAATCAGCAGAGCAGGAACCAGAATTCAAGTTTCCAAACTTCTAGTTAAGTGTTCTTTAAAAACACAAGGCGAAATAATTGATTTCCTGATGTTCGCACAAAAATAATTTCAAAAGCTATCAAAACATGCCACTCACTTTAAATTTTTACCTGTGAAAGCATACATAATAAAGTAATACCACCCCTTCTGACCTCACCCACCCAAGCTAAAAAGAGGATAGCACAGATAAAAAAGGGGGGGCCAGTTTTTCTTGCCTAGATGTAAATCATTCCAGTGCAGCTAGATGGTGCTAGCCCTGGAGTCAGGACCTGAGTTCAAATTGACCTCAGTTACTACCTGTGTGACCCTGGGCAAGTCACTTCACCCTGTTTGTATCAGTTCCTCATCTGTAGAAGGAAACAGCAAACCACCCCAGTGTCTCTTCCAAGAAAACCCCAAACAGTGTCACCAAGAGTCCAACACGACATTAGAAGATAAGACTCAATGTAAAGCTGGATCACTTTATGATCTTTTATTCTTGACTTCTGACCATCGGTTGGAAAAAAAAAATTTAGATGGATTATTCCTGAACTGACTCAGAGGAAGGAAGTGGGGCAGATACTTAGCACCAAAAGAGAAAGTGACTGGGACTGTAAGAAATCTTTAATATGCCCCAACTACCACTGTATCCCAGCCAGAGCAACCATTAAAGGAACAGAAGATGGCAGGCCCTTCCCTCCGAGGTCTAGCCAGCTGGAGATGTTCACAGCTCACACCTTAAGTAACATTGGCCACTATCTACTAATCTTTCAAACAGGATCACAGGTAAAAAGCTAGTAGCAAGCACTTAGTTAAAAAGACTGCTGTTTGAATGGTAGGGTATTGTTGCCACCTTTAAGATGTCCACAGCCACGGGAGAATTAGGAGCTGAACAAACATCATCATCAGAATTAGAAAGCCTCTTAGAAACCGAACAACAATTGAATTGAAACCCCAGAACTAAAGAAATACTGCTGAATCACGCTGGTCCCTCACAATTTCAGAGGAAACCATGAGAGGGAGGATTTTTATTTAGCCACTGATGGAGTAGGAGTGGAGGTCTGGGTGCCTGCCTCTACATGGGTCAGAGATGGGCAACATAAAGGCGGTGAGCGGGGATATATGCCAAAGAAAAGGAAGCAGAGAGATTTTTTTATTCAGACCTAGACTACTGGTCCCTCAGGCCTATCCACGACATTCCCTCACCTCCCCCAGCTCCCATGACCTTGTTCAACTTTCCAACCTGCTTCTGGGGCCCTCTCGGTTTCCTGCCTTTCTCAGAAGGGTCTTCCGTGGCTCCTCCCCTAATAAAACAACCCTCCCCCAGCTCAGGGCCCATTGGGCTCCCCCAGGCCAGTAAGAGACACCCCCCGCCCCGGCAGAGTCCCTAAAGGTGTCCCACGAACACAGTTCCTTCCGCCCCCCCCAGCAGCCAGTATCCCCCTGCTCCCGACCGGCCAGATAACCACGGCCGTTCGCCCCCTATGCCCTCACCCCGTCTCTGCGCTCGTCATCCCCGAAATCGTCCGTCTCCTCGTCATGCGCCCCCTTCCCCTCAGGGCCCTACCCCCCGCGTCCCTCACCCGCGTGCCTCTCCCTTAGCTCCATTCCCCGCAGGCCTTTCAACCGCCCCGCCCTCCCCTCCCCCAAGGCGCCGTCACGCGCCCCTTCCCCCTCTCTCCCCAAGCGCCATCAGTCCCCGGCTCGGGCCCCCTTCCCCGAGGGGTATCTCTCCTCCACCCAGCTGGCCCGCACATCTCCGGTGCCCACAAACCCTCACTCACAGAACAAGACGAAGCAAAACCACCTTCGAGAAGCAGCAGGCCGCTTCAGCTTCGCTTCCCACCTCCCCTTCCACTTCACACAGACCTCAGGCGCCCGGAGGAGGCTCAAAGTAAGGGGGCGGGGCATCCGGTCGGCACTCCCTCCTCCGGAATCCCCGCCCCCATCTCTTCGGGGCGGAAGCAGCCAATCGGGAAGGGCGGGGCGGGGCTAGAGGATGCCGGGGCCGCGTGGAAGAGGGAGCCCCGGGCTGAGCCCGCGGGCCGAGAGCAGGCCTGTCCCCCTCCCTCCCCAGCCGCGACCCCGGGGCCTCCGAGCTGAGCTTCCTCCCGAGCGGGTAACCTCTCTCGGGCCGAACCCGGAAACAGGATTTTTTAGGGGGCAAGACCGGGCTGTCAAGGTCACCTGGGCTGCCTTGGCCTGTCCCGGCTACGTCATTCGTCACACGTCCTGTTCCCGGCAGTTGGGCGGGAACACCGAGGCCTGAGAACTCACGTACACACGCCGTGGGCGGAGGGAGGTGTGGAGCCCAGGAGGTGGAAACCACCCGGCTTGTCATCCTTGCTGTACAGGGCAGGAAACTGAGGCCAGGACAAGTGAAGACATTCCCCAAGGTTGCAGCTGCGTCTGGAGACTCTTGGCTCCAGCTAGGTGTCGCTCAGTGGATAGAACGCAGGAAGACTTGAGTTCAAATCCTCCCTCAGACCCTAGCTGGGTGGACCTGAGCAAGTCACTCAACCCTGCAGAGGAGAACTCACTCTCCTCATCTGTAAAGTGGGCATGATAATAGCACTATTTCCCAGGCTTGTTGTGAGGGTCAACTGAGGTAAGATGTCATATTTACAAACCCTGAAGTTATTGCTAATTATTATTATTATTATTATTATTAGGGCAGCTAGGTACATTTAGTGCTGGCCCTGGAGTCAGAAGGACTTGAGTTCAAGTTTGGCCTCAGAAATTAGCTGTGTGACCCTGGGCAAGTCACTTAACTCCGTTGGCCTCAGTTTCCTCATCTGTAAAAATGAGCTGGAGAAGGAAATGGCAAAACACTCCAATATCTTGCCAGGAGAACGCCAAATGGCCTCACGGATAACAAAAATTCTTATTACTCCAGCCCCACTAAGCTCTTCCCTACACCTAGCTGCCATTCCCCAAACAAGGTCTCCCTCCAGGACACCCAAAGCCCCACAGAAAACCAACTGCAGATTTTTAAACCTCTCCCAGAAATAACATTTTGGCTCCTTCCCAACCCCATTCCTGCATCATCCCAGAATTGGGCACAGCTGCTCCTTGGGGTCACTTCTACTGCCCTTTCTGTCCCCTGAGTATTTTCAGTCCAAGTCCCCTGCCGAAACAGCACTTTCCACTTTCCCTCTTTTCCTGCTCTCAAGTATTTTAAGATGTTTGAGGCTAAAAGCTTCGTTTAAAATAACAAAACTAAAAAAGGAAAGTTACAAAATTGAAACAAATCTTAAAACTGTTGAAATAAATATTCAGGAAGATTAATGTCCCATACTACTATAGATTTTCTCAGTTGTTAGACTTTATAAAATGGTAGATTTACAGCTAGGAGGGATCTCAGACATCATCCAGTCCAGTAACATCAAACTCAAATGGGGTATGAAAAGGAGCACTGATGTGTACAGAAGAATCCCTGCAGGCCACAGTTTAACTTAGTTTTAAAATATGATGTCATCTAGGTCTTATTGTATTTTTATCTATTTTGTTAAATATTTCTCAATTACAATTTAAACTGCCAGTATGTCTCTGGCTTGTGATAACTCTGATCTAGTCTAGCTAACCCCTCATTTCCTCATGAGTTTCCTCTGAGGCCCAGAAGGATTAAGAGTCTTGGCCAGTGTCAAACTTCTCTGGATTTGGTCCGTTCCCACTGTACTGCACTGACTTTCAAGACTTGAAATACTGAGGAAGACCTGACTTCTCTGCTCCTTTCACTGACTCAGCGTTTGGTCCTTGCCTCACAATCAGCCTTATGAGGGAATGAAAAATACTAATAAACCAGAGCTTTACTTAGCACATTTTTTTTCCATCCTAAATTGACCATCATTTAGAGATTGGTTTAAGGAACTAGAAATGTTTAGACTGCAGAAGACTGGGGAATTCAATGATCCTCATCTCCTGGTATTTGAAGAACTATCATAAGGAAAAGGGATTATTTATTCTCAGAGGGCAGTAATAGGATTGTGGGAGAAAGGGGCAGCTAGTTGGCACAGTTGACAGAGCACCAGTCTTGAAGTCAGGAGGACCTGAGTCTAAATCCAGCCCCAGACCAAACACTTGACACTTACTAGCTGTGTGACCCTGGGCAAGTCACTTAACCCCAATTGCCTTAAAAAAAAAAGAAAAGGATTGTGGGAGAAAGTTAGAGGGACTCCAAATAAAATTAAACTTCCTAACAATGAGAGCTGACCAAAGGTGGAATGGGCAGCCTCTGGAAATCACTCCCCAGCACTAGAGGGCTTTAAACAGGTTCCATGATCACTTAAAGAAACTACAGAGATTATTTCTGCTCAGGAATAGAGGCCTCAGAGATCTCTTCTGGCAATGAGATTCTAGTCTTCATTTTAACCACAGAATTGATTTGGCAGACAGAATTTACAAGTTTCTTGGACCCAGTTTCTTTTTCTTACCTCAATCCTATATGAATTGGCTACCAGGTTTGGCAGGGTTCCCAGACCCTTGAACCTGTTGTCTACTCCTTTTTTTTTTAAATTGAATAAATGGATTTTAATTAATTTATTTTGATTTATCAACAATCACTTCCATAAGCTTTTGAGTTTTAAATTTTTCTCTCCCTCCCTCCCTCCCTAAGATGGCATGAAATCTGATATAGGCTATACATATACGTTATCACTAAACGTATTTTTACATTAGTGATGTAAGGAAGAATTAGAACCAATAAGAGGAACCACCAGAAAGAGGAAACAAAACACAACGGAAGAAAAAAAAATTGCAAATAGTATGCTTCGATCTGCATTCAAACTCCATAGTTCTTTCTTTGGATGTGGATAGCATTTTCCATCATGAGGTTCTTCTGAAGTCAGCCTGTTCATCATTTCTTATAGCACAACAGTATTCCATTACATTCATATATCACATTCACAGTTACGATTACTATCTGTGTCTTTCTCTCCATCCTTTACCCCCTCTGTTTATGCTTTTCTTTCTCCTTCAGAAAAACTTGGAAGGACTTGTATGGTCTGATGCTGAGTGAAGTGAGCAGAACTAGGAGAATATTGTACACAGTAACAGCCACTTTGTGAGATGACTAATACTGATAGACTTAACCCTTTTTGGCAATGCCAAGGATCTAAGACACCTCCAAAGGCCTCATGATGGAAAATGCTATCCACATCCAAAGAAAGAACTATGCAGTTTGAATGCAGATCGAAGCAGGCTATTTGCTAGTTTTTTTTCTTCTGTTGTGTTTTGTTTCCTCCTTCTGGTGGTTCCTCCTATTGGTTCTAATTCTTACTTACAACATCACTAATGTGAAAATATGTTTAACAGGAATGTATCTGTATAGCCCATATCAGATTGCACACCATCTTGGGGAGGGAGGTGGAGAAAAATTTTAAACTCAAAAGCTTATGGAAGTGATTGTTGATAAATCAAAATAAATTAATAAAAAAAATTTAAAAAGGAAAAAAATAAAGGGAAAAAAAGAAGATTCCAGAGTCCTTGGAATGTCTTCCTCCATTTTTTGACCTAATGGTTCTCCTTGATTTATTGAAACTAGCTGTACTAAAAAGATAACCCCTTTATCAATTTCCTGTAGTAAATGAAGACTCATCTTTCTTATTTTTTGTTTCATATCACATATAAACATTACCTTCTGAATTGTGAATGATGCACTCCTTATGAACCGGTGCTAGAGAATGCCACATTTTGAGTATAGTAAGACCAGTCTCCTGATTCCTTCTTACTTGTTGGCTTTAGCTAGTCAAATTGATAAGAAAATTCATACAACATAAAGACGGAAAAAGTGAGACAATCCTGGAGTCAAAATCTAATTGGGTGAAACAACACATGTCAGAGAGTTCTGTTGTGAGGTGTATGTGCAGAAGGCAAGGCCCAAGGAGCAGGAGAATGTATCAGTACAACAGGCAGCAGTGTGTTCTGGTCTACAAGTTGTAGGGGTGCATCAGAAAGTAAGGTCTAGAAGACTTTTAGGACCCAATGGAAGGATAGTTGGTAAGGCCTAGTAGTCCTTCCACCTACCCCAACACCCAGCTGTGCTCTTTTGGACTTCACCATCATGCCCCCTTGCCAGGTACCTTCTTTCCTTCTATCCCCATCCTATCTATTTTCAGCTTCCATTTGTGCTTCACCTTCCTTTTGTGTGTTGTCTTCTTCCATTAGATTGTAAGCTCCTTGAGGGCAAGGAGTATCTTTTTTGTATTTGTATCCTCAGTGCTTGGCATATAGTAGGTGCTTAATAAATGAAAATAGGGAAGGGAGACAATTTAGATCTGGAAATAAAATAAAATTGAATTAAAAACAACAACAACAAATTTCTTTAAGGGAAATTTCACTTCCATCATCCTTAGTTCTTTTTTTTCCCCTAGTTTATTTGTTTTTTTACTTCTCTTCTATAACCAGTCAATGTTTGGGCAAATATATAGCACAAACACCAAAGATTAGGAGGACAAATCACCCTAAACTGAGAACATGAAAGTAGATGAGATGGGGAATAGAAAATGGCTCAAAAATAACAAATGTAGAGTTAATTCAATGAAGTTATCTCCAAGAAACTTAAGCATGAACAGAAGTGTCTTAAGAAAAACAAAAAGAGGGCAGCTAGGTGGTTCAGTGGATAGAGCACTAGTCCTGGAGTTGGGCCTCAGAGACTTGACATTTACTAGCTATGTGACCCTGGGTAAGTTACTTAATGCCAATTGCCTCAAAAAAAAAAAAGAAAGAAAGAAAGAAAGAAAGAAAAGAAAAAAAGAAAGACAAGAAGTCTAGCTCAGAGTAGAAATAGATGGGAACTTGGAGAGAAGCATATCATTAAAAGATGAAAAAAAGGGATATGAGAGTAGTGTGAAAAAAACTGGGTAGTGAAAGTCTATGGACTAATGCTATTGAACCTTACTGATGGTAAAGCACCAACTAGAAAG